CCCAGCTTTGAACTTTGCCGAGGTTTCAGCCATACATTATGACCAAGTTTCATGGAGAAACGACAATTATAGCTCACCACGAACACAAAGCTACAAAAAGAACTGACAAAATTTTCTTAAGCTGGGTTGCATGGTTTTTCACAATCTGGTGCACTCTCCTCAAGAGCCTGGATAGGAGCAGGGGCCTGGATGGGAACTTTAGTCGGGATAGGAGCTTGAGCCTAGATAGGAGCTTGAGCCTGGATTGTTTAAAAATTAATAATTTAGTAGCACAACTTAACAAAGATTTCCAACATATAGTTTGATAGATAAAGTATTAGGTTGCTTTTAATTCTATTGGAACAAAAATGATACTCTAACTGAATATTGTTTTTTGTTTTTGTTGAAAACACATTATGTTCTCAAAAATCTGCTAGAAGTCTATCAAACTAATCTTGCAATTATGGTGGGGAATCACGTGATATGGAGACCACATGACATGGTATCGCAGCAATTGATAATCTTTCAGATTCAGATGTCCACGTGAGAATTTTTGTCAAAATCTTTTGTATAACAGAAAATATTTTGTTGAGAGCATGCACAGTATGCGTAACTGACAGGACTTGCAGTAGCCACCAGTGCCATTATAAACAATATTGTACTTTTTCAGGAAAATCCACCAATTTTAAGTTAAAAGGAACATAATGCTTTTGGGAGTAAAATTTCAATTACTGAATAAACAGATCATACTCATACTTTTATTGAAGAAAATGCCTCATTTCCGCATTACTATTCTTCAAAAATTATTTTTTCACCCAAACATTCCTCCAATTATTACAATTGCGCTACATGAGCGCAATATATTTATAGCGTATTTCGAAGATTTTCTTTCAGGTCTTTAAGAAATCAAATGCAAATTTTTACATCAGAATTCTACTTGATGTCATTGGAGTGAATACTCTTTCATTTCAAATGAAGTTTATAAATGCATAATGGGACTTTAAGATACCATGTTACGTGGTCACCATTTCAATGATTCCCCACCATGTCAATGATAAAATACACATATTTAGACCACAGAAGTGCAATACCCCTTATGTTTTGTATGGCTTTCAGAAAAAAAAAGTTTTTTTGGCCTCAGACTCATTTATGAAATTCCACTCATAATGTCATTGTGCCCGAATACCTTTTTCAAAGACCGTGTCTCAGCCGCCTTTGCCTTGTGCCTTTTTCGGTTAGGAGCAACACTCGTCAAATGGTCCAACCAAATGTTCACCTGTTTAAATATTAATCAACATTTTAATACATTCACATTTATCAGATTGGAACAAAGCCTTAACGTAGTTTCTGCAGATTCAATTTACTTTTAATTAGAGCAAGTCATGACCGTAAAGCAATACAAGACCAATAAAGATGAAACCGATAGCCAAGATTCAAAGCCTCGTTACGACAAGCAGTTGAAAAATACAATGATGATAATACATGGCTGCTAAATCATGTGAAGCTTGTTAAAGAACAACAGGAGTGCTCTGGAACGCTCATCTGAGACCCCGATTATCCATCTACAATCTTCCTGAGAACAAATTTTAACAATCTATTGGCTATTTAAAGTGGTCAATGCAAACCTCTTATTATACTTTTTCACAATTTCAGTAAGCCTGCGATATCAGGTTCAATTAACAACAGCTCAACTGTAAAGTTGAAAAAAGAATATTTTGTTACATAATTAAACCATCACCCCTACATATGCACTATAACTACAGGCATGTGACAAATAAGAAATTTGCAGGGATACAATTTCATTTGTAGGTTAGTTCACAATAAATTACCTTTTTTGAAATATGTCAACCATTGCATAAAATCTGGAAAAAAAATTATATAGATCTATTTTGATAAATTTATAATGCATTTACTTGCTTAATTAAATATCATATTTTAACAAGGCTCACGGAAACTACTGACTTGGAGTCCCGTGACTTCAGCACTTGGTTTGGGACTCCCTTGCACGGATGTGCAGGCTGATCTGAATCTGCACTGGTCGCATAGGCGTTAAAATAATTAAAAATATATAGTTAATAAAATAAATCTCTGTGTGTGTTTTCAATATCCGTTTTGTGTCACTTGATCAGTTCATTCATACTGCATTATGTCACTCAATACGAAATTTTCTGCTGTAATCGTTTATATTCTACAGGCAAAGTGAACGTTCTTTTGTGGATTTAGTATTATTAATACGAGATATGTGAGTTTCATGTGATGACGCCTCTCAGTCTCGCAAAATAAATGGGTCTATTCGCGAAAACAGATGACAAACATGAATACCGCTAGGCTCCATGCATACTATGTCTGGGTATAGGTGAAAATAAATGGAGAATACAATCCCTGTATACCTTTGAATATAAATTCCAATTCTGGGGCAATCTTCTCGCCCCATTCCACTATTTTCTCTATAGAAAAATTCAAAAAGTCTTCCATCATGCGTTCATGTCTGCAACTTCAAAAACACGAATAAAAATATCGCCGTCGTCTTTAGACCTTTCGCGGTTACTACCCTTTCTTATTTTGTGGCATCGAAATTCCCGAGTCCCGGGATGTAAAAACCGGCCAAAGTCTATTACCCGGGACTCGGACTCCATAAGTTTGTCAAATTCCCGCCTGTCAGGAATTGTCTTCTGTCTAAAACCCCGTGTATGCCCGCCGTTCCCCAACCCCCAAAACATCATGTTTGACAAGGCCTTCATTAAACTTAAACTGAACCATACTTTGAGCTTAAATGACATTGACCGATTGAATTTTGGTTAAATTGCTTTTATTATGTTTTTTTATGTCCTAATTTGATTTAAACTTTGACAAAACAAGACTTCATACCAAACATATTTAATAATTTAGATGTAACCTTGACTTTAAATTGACCTTGAAATTATCTTTTGTTTTTTCTCTGTAACTGGCTTTTACTTTGTTATTTATGAAATGGATTAACTTCATATAAAGACACATCTTTTAAGTTAGGACCTTTATGTATATCAAACTCAAATTGACCTTGACTCATATATGACCTTGAAGGTCAAATTATTTTATTTTTACCGATTATCACTATAATTGGCTGTAACTTGGTAATTAATCAATGGATTATTTTCATACTTGTAGAAAACAACCTTTTCGATAAAACATTCTAACAAGTTGAACAGAGCTTGACCTTGAGCTTTAAATGACATTGACCGTTAAGGTCGTCAATGCATTGAATTTTGTCATAAATCAATGATTCATATACGGATTTAATCTATATGTAGATAGAACAACACTTGTGATCAAACAGATATGTGGAATTATTTAGAAATGACCTTGACCTTTAAATGATCTTAAACCGTAAAATGATTTAAATTTGATTTTATTTTTTTTAAGTTTGTCATTAAATTTTATTTATGGAAAGGATTCATGCTTGGACAAAACAACAAGTGTCACTAGACAGACCTATACAATTAAAAAAGGAAAAAAAAATTTTCTTTAATTTTCTTTTTAAAGATTTGTTTAAACCGTGTGTTTGTTTGCTTTTAGAAAAAGTAAATAAGTCAAGCGTTGCCCCCAACAGGCATTGGCTCTTTTTTATAGAAATGTTGAAATTTTAAAATAATTAACGTGAATAATTATAGTCAGATTAAAATGTAATATAAGTTTATATGCTCTCCTTTTTATTATCAACGGTCCGGACAGTTCATGTTTTTAAAATGTAGTTAACATTTACTGTAAAATTGCTTTAGGATATATTTAACTTTATTATGATTGAGGTATGAGAAAATCTCATATTATTATGTACATACGGCTTGGGTATAATTATGATATCTAATCTAACATTTTGAAAATGCATTAAAATATGGAGGCTATTCGTTGCCAAACAATCCAGCCTTGTTGATCGAGTTGAACAGTTTGTTTACGGACAAAATACATTGTACAATTTGTAAACTCCAATGTTGAATTCTTGGATTGAGTTTTGAGATTCGATTTAAATTGTAAACATGTTTTTCAACAAAATACTTTTTTTTCTGAGAGTAGCAATACCAAGTGTTCATCGTAACTTGCGGAATGCTCATTGTTCGTGAATACGCCGGCAAAAACAGATGTTACTTTTTTAGCTTTACATTGTCAGACCATCATGATTCGAATAAGCATAATCCAGCTGTACACGTTTTGCAATAGGAGATAAAAAATAAGCTCCGCCCATTTTCCCGCCCACTACATCATTGTAAAAAAACGTATTTATCCGCTGATTTTCGGTATTTTCAGCGACTGGTTCTCTTTCTGTGGTCTGAGATCACACGGAAGCAAGAAAACAGTAACTCGCACCGGCGTAGTTTCCGTTAACCACACATTTCAAGTTTAAAATTTTTTGGAGCTAAATCATGACAGTTATTCACAAAACATAATTCACTTGCATGATTGCCATCCTATGCATTTATTCAATCAACATCAGCGGACTTTAAATGATAAAAGGCCTATAAGTTCTGAAACTTTGTAGATACCCCATTTCTACGGTGGCACAAAGGTGACATGTGTGTGTTTTTATTTATTTTGTGCGCACGAGATACTATGTCGTGGCCACGAGTTACTAAATCGTGGCCACGAGATAGCTAAGTTGTGGCCACGAGATACGATGTCGTGGCCACGAGTTACTAAGTCGTGACCACGAGATAGCTATGTCGTGGCCAAGAGATACTATGTCTTGGCCACGAGATAGCTCAGTCGTGGCCATGAGATACTATGTCGTGGCCACGAGTTACTAAGTCGTGGCCACGAGATAATTAAGTCGTAGGCACGAGATACTTTGTCGTGGTAGACATGACTACCTCCTTCACGACAGAGCTGTCTCCAAGCACAAATATCCTATATTTCTTTATTAACTAAGGTTTTGATCTAATTTCAATCTGATTTCATTTCTTGACCTTATATCTACTTGAAACATAATTGTTTTTAATCTGAATCGCTGTTAAGATAAAAAAATTAGGAAAAATTATCTGTTTCATATGGAAGCTTGAATTGACCCCCCGAGATGCCGTGTTCGAGATAATACGCATGTGTGCATGTCGACTTATTTTAACGCGATACGATGTGTTGTGTCGTCGCTTAACGTAATAAATAAGGCGTCTTGCCATTGAAACTTTCTACGTCTTGCTGACATCAGTTCAGACATCATCACATTTTTTTGTCTACATTTTCCATAAGACGATCTAATTTATATCGATATATTTTTTTTTGTCGATAAAATGTTAATATTTTCTCAACATCAAGCCATGCAACTTAACATACCTTATGTTGATATAACTGCAAAGGTGAATGAATTTCTATGTGTCTATTCGAACAATACGCATTCTCTTCTTGTCACTGACCTATGGCTGTTTTACAATTACTGGTAAGAACATATTTTATACTATCTAAAGCTTGCACGTTTGTTCTTTTAATTGTTTACCAATCGATTAGTGCATCTTTCAATTTAATTCTATGAAAAGTAAATTAACGAAGTCGAAAATTCTGATGGGTAAAAAAAAATCTGACTTGTTGTGTTTCCCTTTATTATGCATAGGAAAATTTATTTTTAGATATTTATACTCTTTTTCACAATTCATATAATTTCAGGTAGACATTTGGTTATTTTTATTCTTAAATCAAGATGTGGGAGCAGTATTTCCTGGATTTAAAGTAAACAAATTAAGATATGCTCTCGTGACCTATTACTTCCGGCTAGGGTATACCTGGAAAGAGATATGTGGATTCATTTGCTGTGCACACAACATTATGATAACTCTTCGACAGATCCGTCGGATCGTTCAACGCTTAGGACTAAGAAGATACGGTTTGTACTCTCCTTTACCGAGGGCTATAAGGCAACTTTGCCACTGTGGTTTCTCAAATTCGGGCTACCGTACAATCTGGAGAGTATTACAGTCATCAGGTAAAGTTGCTGCAACTCAAGACACAGTGAGACAAATAGTTAAGGCGATGGACCCAGCTGGTGTCAACTTACGGTTAAGGCGTCGGTTACGCAGACGAATATATGTCAATCGTGGTCCTAACTTTATTATTCACATTGACGGATACGATAAGCTTAAACCTTTTGGGATATCAATACATGGGGCTATTGATGGTTACTCAAGAAATGTGCTGTGGCTGAGAGCAGCATACACAAATAACGATCCAAAGATTATTTCAAGATATTACATTGAATACATTAAAACAATAAATCAACTGCAGATGGTTGTTCGTGCGGATTACGGCACAGAAAATTCGGTCGTTCGAGATCTTCAAATGACGATTGTTCGTCTGGAAGAACATTGTGAACAGTGCATGTCCACTTCTGTGTGAACTCAATGATATAGATGTCCTTTCTCAAAGGTACTCTTCAATGACACAAAGGGTAAGCTGTAGGGGTATGTTTGTACAGCTCCTAGCAGAAGTAACTGCATGGTCGGGACAGAGATCAACTTCAATAGCCAAGCACACTTGAAATCGCTACGGTTCTGTTTAAAGAACTACGGAATACCTTGACAATTTGTAAAATAATGTTGTTTAATAATGTTTTATTGAAACGCATTTAAACAAAAGCCATTTTTATGTTTTTAAGTTACATAATGCAATAACAGTTGCGGAATTAAAACATTCATACTTCTACTAATCAATCTTTATTTATTTTTATTGTGAAAGTAACTATACTTTTGAAATAAAATTTGCGATTTCCGTGTTATATGTATTGTTTTGTTCCATTTCTATCATATAGATAAACTGGTATAAATCTTTGTAGAACCAACTTGTAATTAATTCATTCAAATTGTCGTGAATTTCCTAATATCTGCTGCCACAAAAGACAAAACGGTTTCCCTGAATTGAGAGTTCAATATTCAATTCATGAAGTTGAAATTGTGAATTAGTGAATCTTAGATCATGAAGTTCAAGTGAATGTTAATTCGTGAAATTATGAAGTTGAAATCGTAAAATCGTGAATTTCGTATGTTGAAAACATGAATTCACAATGTTAAAACTTTGAATTCACGAAGATGTCATTGGGAATTCACGAAGTTGAAAAGTCCCCACCGGCCTTTCCGTACAGTACCAATCTCATTCATAATATTCTTTAAGTTGTCACTGAGATTCATTTAAGGATAACAATTAATTAATAAGTATGGTTCTAAACAAAAAACCGAGTCTTAGTAGAGGAACCAGAATCACATTTTATTACATATTAATTAAGATAAGCAAGTGTGTATTAATTCAGGGTAGCTGATAAGAATCGCCACGGGCACAAATGCTATTTTTATAGTGTTGATAATTAACTTAAAAAAATTACAAGACCACAGCTTTAACAGAAACCTTATTATTTTTAATTTAACACAACGCTTCTTGATTTGTTGTTGCTTTTTTTTTTGGGGGGGGGGCTCATTAATACATATTGAAATAAAATTAAAACAATGGGTTATTTTTTACCTCCTACTAGTTTGAAAATATTAAACTGATAAACTTTTAATTTAAAAGACATTTAAACATTTAAGTCTCTCGTACATTAAACAAAAAAATCAGGACTATAACTTATCGATATAACCATTAGCATATTATTCGGCGAGACGTACAGACATACGGTCGAAAGGCTATTCCATTTGAAGTTTCAGAAAGAAATAAACTAACAAGTGTCTTATATAACTTAAATCAAACATGGTCCTTCTTTGTTCTCTCAGCTATGCCTGGTATGTTTTCCGGTCAATGACCGGTCTAAAATCATTTCCTGTATAATTTACAGACAAGAACTGAATATAAGAAAAAGTTCTCATTGGTCATTTTAAATATACAAAGAAATCTGGGAATCTCATTGACCATTTTTACATAAATAATGATATATCGATGCTAAAATTTAAAGGATAGTTCTTGCCATTATAAAATAATAGGTAAAGAATATCTATATTATGGCATGTTAAGCTTTACAATATTCAATAAATTAAATTTTTGTTCTATATCCAATATTTATATTGTATAACTCACATTTGATTTGAATTTGTGACTTGAGCAATATTGATGTTTTAATTTTTTTTTCTTTAAAATATTGTATCATTTATTTAGTTATACTGTACAGTACTTTTGAACGTGTCAATGTGCATGAAAAAAGTGCTTAAGAAGTTTGGCATACAATAATAATAATAATAATAATAATAATAATAATAATAATAATAATTATTATTATTATTATTATTATTATTATTATTATTATTATTATTTTATATTCTATACCACACTATTTATTCAATCCTGCTAAATATTTGTTAATCATAAAAAATATTTGTGTGCGATAATTTTCTATATGTATGTGGTATATTTGAAAATTTATATTGTATAATTAAAAATATTTATTGTATAGATCTACTGAAAAATATTTATTCGATAACTTGAATCATGGGATAGAGCATACAAATACCGCCTATAAATTAAGCACGAATTGATGGTAAGGCGTTATCATCATCATTAAACTAGACTATAGTGTAGGGGAAATGAACAGCGTCCCTGTGAATAGAGCAAATGCTTTATCCTCCTTATAAATGTATATGTATGTCTAATAAATGGAAATAAATTTTAAAATCTTCAGGACATACAATAGTAATGGTCTTCATATGCCTAATAATTTAACCACGATATGAACCTATGTGAGGATATCATGTAAGATGCATTTACATAAAAATACAGGGAACGTAAATCGGAATATATCCAACAAGAAGCATTAACAAATGAAAATGTTATGCCGTTAATGCAATTTGCATGTAAAGTGACCCGGCGGACGGTATAACTTTGAAATTTGACGTTAACGACGTCGCAAGCGTTTCCTCATTTACGAAGTAGGCCAATACCATTTTTACATGTCTGATCCACTGCCTATATATAAATACTCTGTAAAAGTCGGTATCATTGGCCAGCCCGCATAGCTCAATCGGTTAGAGCGCGAGACTTGTAATCTCGACATTGTGGGTTCGATTCCCGGGCTGGCAAACTAAAATTACTAATCAGTCTTTCGGATGAGACTTTAAATCGAGGTCCCGTGTATGGGTGCTTAAACACTTGGCACGCTAAAGAACCTGGGGGCCGTTTTATCAACGCTCTACGACGTGTCGTAGGCTAGTTTTTTGTCGCAGACATGTCGAAGAACGTTAAGACCGTTTTATTAACGTTTGTCGTAGCCTACGACGTCGTAGAAAATGTCGCAGCTCTACGACAGGGTTGGGGCTGTCGTACGACGTTTCTGTGACGTTAAGACTGGCGATCACTGTTTACATGTATACATGCTCAGCACATTATTTTTATTAAATAACTTTTTCAGAATAAAAAAAACATATTTCAATTGTTTTTGTTTTCTTTTAATGTCAAACGCTTATATAAGGGCTTTATACATGCGCTCTAAGTATAGAAAGAAACAGAATATACAAATCTTATACCCTATAAAAATGTCTAAAATATCGTTCATTTGGAGCAAATATGCCCTTACGGTCATACTCTATTCTATTAATAATGAGTTCCGAAGATTTCTTCGAAAATAGAATAAAAATAACTTTACTCACATCTATTTTATTTCACATTTGGAAAAATCATAATATTTTAACTAAATTTTACATAAATTTAGATATTTCTTTGAAGAAAACCAAATGGTATAAAAAAGGACACCGGAAAGTTACCGTGGTCATGATTCCGGAAGAACAATTTTAAAAAGAAAAAAAATAGTCAATAGAATATAAAAAAGTTCAAAAAGACAAGGCGACATTAACCAAAAGTTACCGTGGATGAAAAGCATCAATGTTTAAATTATCAAATTTTATGATAAACTGCAATATACAGTGAAGATATAATAATTCAGTCTGCACAATTTGCATGGTGTATTAATTATGCATTTTAATTCTTAAAAAAAATCAAGAATCCGAACTGTAACTACGTAATTTGCAATCCCGGGGTGGGGAGTTATTTAGTATACTACAACTACATGAGATATACGTATATATATCTATAAGTAGCCTGGGATTCAGGCGTTGATATATTTTTTGCTTATTCATAACTTACGCGCTATTTCATACTCGATACTCAGAGATAACACAACATCACTGGTTTTGATAGTATCAATATATGAGCTGTGTCACGACAAAACCAACATAATGGGTTTGCGACCAGCATGGATCCAGACCAGCCTGCGCATCCGCGCAGTCTGATCAGGATCCATGCTATTCGTTATCAGTTTCTCTACTTGTTATAGAGTTGTAAGCGAACAGCATGGATCCTGATCAGACTGCACGGATGCGCAGGCTGGTCTGGATCCATGCTGGTTGCAAACGCATTATGTTGGTTTTGTCGTGACGCGGCTCATATGTCGATTTGCCGACAAGAAGCACATAAAAAATCGACAGACTGGAACCCAGGCTAATCTATGAGAAAAATTAATGCGCTTTCCGAAAAAAAAACGCAACAACAACAAAAAAAGCTACATTGTAAAGTGAAATATTTCATATAAATTTACAAGTTTGAACAAAACAAAAACAGCGTGTTACGTTTCAATTAAAAAGCAGTGCGCTTAATATACCTTTACAAAAATATGTCAAAACAACAATTCATTGTTTCGATTCTTTAGCAATAGTTAATCTATAAGATTAATTATATATATTTATTTCAAACAACGAGAATGAACAGAAATAGTTAGAAATCTTGTGTGTACTGAATTCCTCGTAAAATGGGTAAAAATGTGCGCCACACGTTATACAGAAAAACTGTACTAGAAACATTGGGTGTCATTTAAGTAATTTATATGTACAAATCATTGGTTTTATCATGGTAGCTAGTACTATAAACCTTATTTTAGCGTTTCTTAAAAAGGAGCTACAATTGTTTCTAACGCGCAAAAATCCTTTCATAAAGGCCCATAAAGCCATAGAAATGCTTTTATTTTTTAAAGCTTTTTATTTATATATATCTTTTTTTTCTCTTTTTTTTCTTTTTATTTCCATTATCATTAACATGAACTATCGTTTGCTTCTGTTAATTTTTGCCAATCAAGTACGGTGTTAATGATTTAGTAATTTGTATGAAAGTCAAAATTTGCTACAATAACAATTTTAATACTTCCACATTCACCACTACTTTCTTTAGAAATGCAGGCAAAACAAAAATGTAAGTCTGCACAAACTGCATGATATATCAATTATGTATTTCAATTCTTTTTAAGACTTGAAAAAATATAGTATCCGAACTGTATTTACAATGCCGGGAGTCGGGGATTATTGAGAATACTACATGAAATATATGTATAAATACCTACTAACAAACAAATATACATGACACTTTAAAGTGAAATATTTCATTAAGATTACAAATTGGAACAGAATACAAAACAAGCGTGTTCCGTTTCAATTAAAAAAGCAAAATAAACAAAAAAAATCAAAACAGCAATTTATTATTTCGATGCATTGGCAATGGTATATCTATAATATACATGTATATTATATTTTTTGTTTAACACAACGAGAAAGACAAGGGACTAGTTAGTCGCTTGTTCTTATATTCGAGTGTGTACTGTACTTCTCGGAAAATACTATGAAAAATTGCTATACTCGAATGCTTTCGACAATAATAATTCAGGTTGTTTTTTTATATACTGTGGATAGCTTGTATAGTCACGGGTATTCTGCACCTTATCTCGTTAAAATCAGTTGAGTAACAGCAAAGTTTGAAAAAATGTGCGTGTTCCTTACGTGGTGTAACTACTTTCAATCCGTATTAACTCCGAGGTTCCGATTTATCGCCACACGATATACTTGAAAAGTCCGGTGCTATTTAAAATTGACAGTTAGCTTTAACATTACTATTAAAGTACTATAAACATACCCTTTGGCGTTTCTTAAAAATGCTTTTGATTTTTTAGTTTTCTGTTTTAATTTCCAAAAGTTGCTGATCGGTCGTTTCCATCTTTTGCGTATGTTAATTTTTTATTAAGTTGTGATAGTTATTAAGTGTTTTGTTTAAAAGTCAAATACAACATTGTTGACGTTTTTGGTTAATAATTTTACATTCACCGCTTCAAGTACTTTAAAATAATTATTTAAACGTTATAAAACCCGTGTTCGCTCTGGTAATAAAAATCCGCTTCTGAGACATAATGTGCCTTTAGCATTCAGTATAGACCCGGCATTAAGGGTGGAACCGTAGCGTGACATAGTATTTTAAGGGGTGAATCGAGTGCTGTATTTTTCACTAAAATGTTCTTTGAATGACATTAAAAATATTTATCCGTTTTATAATAATCATGTAAATTTATCCGTTTGATAATAGTCATGTAAATTACATCAATACTTTAAGTACTTTGATTTCATAGGTGACGTCAAAGCGCGCACTGGCTAGACTGTGTCTCGCGTGAATTTTGTCTACGACAAAGGCTGCGACGTCGCAGAAACACAACGTCGCAGACGTACGACACCGACAAAAAATTGTCGTAGACTACGACACGTTGATAAAACGGCCCCCAGGAGAAGCTTCTGGAATTGGGGCATCTTTCTGTATCTGTAATTGCACTATGACTAATACTCCTCTGGAGGACTCGCCCATATGGGCATCCGGTGGCGAGTATAAATAAACGAAAACCCCCACACGTATCATTGGCGTCCGCGCCGAAGCGCGACACCCTTATAGAACGAAATCATATTTTGTGAAAAGGCAATTGCAACTTCTCGAGCCTTTTCGTCGGCCATAATAGCCAAACATTCCGATTGGTATGAGTGTTTGATAATCAAAAATGAAATGTCGCGATATGTAAAATGAATAGTGAACTGGATAATTTCGCAATGTAAACATATTCAAATGAAATTATCTTATCCGTCAATTAATCGCGCTCTTCGGTATTTTTATTAATCATTTTGTAGTACACAGTGGGTTATTATGTGCGTTATTGCTTTACCTATAAATAGAATGATGACCTGAACATTGTGAAAGTCCGAAAATCTATTTATAGAAGTAGTTTTAGTTTACCGAAACGGTCATTGGTGTCGCAACGAACTGGATAATTTTGCAGAAAATGAAATGGAAACATATTAGAACAATTAATTGCAATCTTTAAGTAGGCAATTTTTACGAATTGTTTATCATAGTATTATCATTCTTCGTCTGCAATTTTAACATGGTTTATTGATAGGCATGTAAACACACTGATGGGTCAGACTAGGTCATTAAAATAGTAGATTGACCTCCCAAATAAATCAATTAACAGACTTTGCTCATTTTGACTATTATGTTGCATTTTCCAAAGAAAATACCACATGAACTTGAAATTCTATCAAATGACCAATATTAATGATAATATCCAGAAATACCCCTTTATAGTATAAATAAACTTATACCATATAGGGGGTATAGTTTGGATATTATAGACCTGTATATTTTGGATATTATCTTTAACATTGATAGAATTCAAGTTCCTGCGGAAAAAAAAAACATTTAATATTCAAATCTCTATCATGCCTACCAAAGTTCATGATGAACAATGTCTTTCGACCGCCCATTCATAAAGGATATACAATACTTGTTAAAACCAATAACCATTGAAAAGTTTATAAGAATATATGGTCATCAGATGTCTACTAGTTCATCTTCACTTGCTTGCTGCATTTCTTGTTTGGACGCCCTTTGATGCTTTGCATCAATTCTTGTCTTGTACTGTATTGTAATAGACTGTATGATTTTATATGAGCTCTTGTAATGTCGCAAACTTCCTTCTGCTACCGCAATAAACCATTATATGTCTTATATTTATATAGTTTTGCTGCACCAAAATGTATCATACATACGAGAAAATAAAAGAATCATACAACTAAGAACAAAATTGTCATTATTTAAAGAATAAATATAACGCATAACCAATTTTAAGCGGGACTGTTAAATTTTTTAAAACAAATCACAATAAAACCATAAGGTAGAATAATAGAATGATTTATACAATTGTAAACCAAGAACATAATAATCACACTGGCAATAGCTTTCTCAGAAACGGTGGGTCCATCGAAGCGGCGTTGGAGATTTCGTCGCAGAAGCGGTGGATAAAATATGGCCGTTTGCTGCTGTCGGTAAGCTTATGACGGAATTTTGCTTTATTCTTTAATGTTTAACTGGAAACACCTAGTGAGACTGGAGCCCACATATGTACTTTTCCAACTTATTACACGCACACAGTGCAATTAATTGCCATTTGTGCAATCACTTCTGTACAGTTTGACGAGGGGACGCCACTTTTGCCTAATTTTGCTTAAAACATGTACACATGTGTGCAAAATTACCCCTAAATACGCGAACATTACATGGCATGTATGATAAATGCACAAAACAACCATATTTTTGAACTTTTGAAAATTGTTATTTCCTTTTTATAAAAGAATTGACAAAAAGTGATTACAACGCAAGCGGCGGCGAGTTGATTGCAACGCAGTGCGTTTGTCCGGATACAATTATTGTCCATAATGAGGGTTTACTTGACATAACTCTTTTTTAAATATAGTACAACACTTCTCTTACTTTGATATCAGAGAAACATGTTTCTTTAGTTTAAAATAATATGATTATTTATGCAAATAGATGTTCTAGTTGCACTTCCATTTTCCATCCATTGTAATTCCTTTGGTAGAATAGTTTTCGTTCAACCATTGACTTAAGTAAACAACAAACATATAAAAGAAATTCCCGTAAATATTAACAGAAAATACGAAACACAATCTCATTTTTGAATGTCACTGTGTTATAGTACCATACTGAGAACACCAATTCAGTACATGGTCGCTTAGGGTTAAATAAATAAAACAATGAAATTCATGAATTCAGAAAATGATATCGGTGACCTCTAAGATTTTTGGCTTGAAATGTTTATCATATTCTAAAATCATGACAAGTTTCAAGAATACATGTCGAACATCTTTAATTTTGCCTATATGTCTTTATAATATTGCACGTTTGTTAATATTAGTTATAAAGATTTTTGACAAGTTTAATGACCGGGGTTTTTTTTGTTTTGTTTTTTGTTGTTGTTGTTTTTTTGTGTGTTTTTTTTTACAGGTTTGGCCATTTGTTGCCGAACCGCTTAGCTAATGTTTTGTTGCAATCGTTTATATACGGCCATATAACCCGTAAAAGTTTCATAACAAATATATAACACAGCAAGCGTCTTTTTTATTGA